GTTATGACGTCCATCAATGGTGGTGGAAGTGGAAAAAGAAGAAAATTAAAGTTGCGGTGGTGGAGCGCTGCCCCCAGCACAGCTGCCTGTGCACTTCATGTCATTGTTACCACATGTGGTGATGCATGATACGGGATCAGTATTGTGCAGGCAGTTGAGCGCACAGGTGAGGACATTCTGGGCGCAAATGCTAAGGCATTGCGCCAACGGTTCCTGGCTGTGGACTTGCGATATGATGAGCAAGAGCAGCACAATGAGCAGTGTGAGTCTTTTCAATCCTGCACTCCTCATTTTTAAGTCTTGATCACGGGAAGAATGCATTGCCGCGCTGCCTGAGCATGAGGCTTTGTGTATGTTACATACACTATATATAGCAAACGAAGGCAGAAAGTAGGTTTACGTTTTGAAAGATGTATTGTATGATCATGCAGGAGGCCTGAGTGGGTAATTCAACTTTGGCTACACGGAAGAGTGCAACCACAATTTCCGTATTTCAAGAGCTAGGCATGCGGAGCATTGGTTCAGAAAATTGAATTATTAATTAGAGAGGAATGATTGAATGATATGGTATGGGGAATTTTATTTTATTTTTTTTAATTTTCTTGGACCAACACACAAATAAAGGGGTAGAATATAGAATTCGATTTTGGCTGCATGAATCAATCCTTTTCCATTTTTATTTGGCCAAAGCCCCTATTTGCACCCTCCATTTATTTTTTTTTCCGTGATCAACACCTTTCAGAATTTTTTCTTCCTATTCACACCCTCCACTTTTCAAAACCCGTGAAAAACTCAATATTTTAACGGACCGTCACGGTACCGTTAATAATCGTTAAAAATTGTAATACGTGGCATCAAACAGTAACATAATCCAATGTGGACTTTTTTTTTTATGATATGACATAATTAAATCATAATTAATTTTAATTTTTTCATTTTCTTCTTTCCCGCATCATCTTTACCATCTTCCTCTTCATCTTCTTGGGTTCCTCATGGAACCAGGAACCAGGTACCCAGAACTTTTTTTTATAATGTGTTATAATTAAATCATCATTAATTTTGATGTTATCTTGTAATGTCTCCTGGAGACTGTGAGTTGAGTACCTCTTGTACTCCTCACCATAATAAAATTTTTTGATTCATCAAAAAAAAAAATCATCATTAATTTTAATTTCTTCATTTTCTTCTTTCCCGGCATCATCTTCACCATCCTCATCCTCATCCCCTAGGTTCCTCGCAAAACCCAAGTTCTGAGTTCTTCGTAGAACCTAATTTCACATGAATGCAAGTTAAGATTTTCATCCACACAATTATAAATAAATGAATACTGCACAAAAACATTATAAGCATCTTTTATTTCTTTCCCACAAAAAACAAAAAAAACTCAAATTGGCAACCTATTCAGAAACAATCTCCCAACAAAAAAACTCACTTTTTCAATAAAAAAAAATTATTTCAAATTATTTTGCATAAAATCGAAAGCTAAGCTAAGATAAATACATTTAAAAAAAAAAAAAAAAAGAGGTTGGAACTGGGTTCCCCGCGAGGAACCCAGATCTGGGTTCCCGTTCTGGGTTCCACGCGGGGAACCCAACTGGGTTCCCGCAAGGAACCCATTGAGAAAGAAGAGGCTGGTGAAGATGGAGGGCGGTGAAGATGATGTCGAGGATGAGGGGGGAAAGAAAAAAAAAGAAAAAATGCCATTTATGTAATTGTTTGGTAATATTATAATTTTTTATTATTTTTACTATATACGTGGCGTCCACATTGGATTACTAATGTTATATAGTGCCACGTCAATTTTTGGGTGCCACGTAATATATTTTTTAACGGTACCGTGACGGTCTGTTAAAATATTAGATTTTTCACGAGTTTTAAAAAGTGAAAGGTGTGAATAAAGAAAAAAAATTCTGAAAGGTGTTGATCACGAAAAAAAAAATAAATAGAGGGTGCAAATAGGGCCTTTAGCCTTTTTATTTTTACGAGTAACTTTCAGAGGTGGGCTGTCGGAAAAATTTTCTTACAGATAACAACCACGATGCAAAAGGCTAGGCCATAGAAATGCGAGGTGGAAAAGAAAATAGGCCCTAGAAATCTTTTCAGCCCAAATCCAACAATTCTATGGTATTTTGTTTGTGGACACTACGCAATGGATCGGATCCATGTCTTA